TATTGTGCATTATATTTGTGTAGTATGTAATATGTGTGTAATGTGTACTTGTTGTGTGTAATGAGTATGTATAGTGTTTTATATCTTCATAGTGAGTAACGTTTCTTCATAATGTGTAGCGTGTCAGTATAAAGAATGTAATGTCTTTGTACAGTGTGTGATGTGAATGTGTCATGTTCAGTAAACTGTCATGTTTTTGTATATGCTGCAATGTATATTTGCAGTATGAAATGTATCTGTACAGTGTCATGTACATGTATACGTATTTTATAGTGTGTCGTTTATTTGTATAGTGTGTCAATTATCTGTGTAGTGTGTCGTATATCTGTGTAGTGTGTTGTGTATCTGTATTTATTTGCCGTATATTTGTGAAGTGTGTTATGTATTTGTGAATTTGTGTATTTGTCATGTACATGTACATGTGTTTTATAGTGTGTAATGTATTTTTACAGTTTACAACGTACCTTTATTGTGTATCTGAATTGTGTGTTTTGTATCTGTTTAGTGTGTTGTGTATTTGTACAGTTTATAACGTACCTTTATTGTGTATCTGAATTGTGTGTTTTGTATCTGTTTAGTGTGTTGTGTATTTGTACAGTTTATAACGTACCTTTATTGTGTATCTGAATTGTGTGTTTTGTATTTGTTTAGTGTGTTGTGTATTTGTACAGTTTATAACGTACCTTTATTGTGTATCTGAATTGTGTGTTTTGTATCTGTTTAGTGTGTTATGTATTTGTACAGTTTATAACGTACCTTTATTGTGTATCTGAATTGTGTGTTTTGTATCTATGTAGTGTGTTGTGTATTTGTACAGTTTATAACGTACCTTTATTGTGTATCTGAATTGTGTGTTTTGTATCTGTTTAGTGTGTTGTGTATTTGTACAGTTTATAACGTACCTTTATTGTGTATCTGAATTGTGTGTTTTGTATCTGTTTAGTGTGTTGTGTATTTGTACAGTTTATAACGTACCTTTATTGTGTATCTGAATTGTGTGTTTTGTATCTGTTTAGTGTGTTGTGTATTTGTACAGTTTATAACGTACCTTTATTGTGTATCTGAATTGTGTGTTTTGTATCTGTATAGTGTGTTTTGTATTTGAACAGTTTATTACGTACCTTTATTGTGTATCTGAATTGTGTGTTTTGTATCTGTTTAGTGTGTTTTGTATCTGTTTAGTGTGTTATGTATCTGTTTAGTGTGTTTTGTATCTGTTTAGTGTGTTTTGTATCTGTTTAGTGTGTTGTGTATTTGTACAGTTTTTAACGTACATTTATTGTGTATCTGTTTAGTGTGTTGTGTATCTGTTTAGAGTGTTTTGTATCTGTTTAGTGTGTTTTGTATCTGTTTAGTGTGTTTTGTATCTGTTTAGTGTGTACTGTCTACACCCATACAGTGTGGGTTATTCATGATTTAGACGATTATCTGAAATCTTGTCATAAACACTGGCTTCCCTCTGATATAATAAACTTCCTACAAGAACAAGGCCGATCGATAATCTTGCCTAAATACAGACGTTTTGTGCAAGAATTTTCAATTTGCCTCGAATTGTAATCGCATGATTATGAGGAAAAACCTACAATGATGTATCGAGCTCCATATCACAGTAGTGCCTGCTTGGCATGGCAAGTGTGGTTGGGGAGGAATACTTCTTTGACAGGTCGGCCTACATGAAGAGAGTAAAGAACACCCGCACACTTCTACCAAACACACACCATTTATAACTGGTAGGTTTACTCGTTTTAAGCATGGAGAAACAACGTAGGAAGTTGGTTCCTTACTTAGCTTTTAACATTATTTTCGATTCAAGGTATCAAGACACTGGCAGTATTTCAGTGTTTCATTATAAACTAAATGTCGATACGTGTTTACAACATGTGAAAGAAATGGTTGTCTACATTTGATGGAAGAGGAAGCCGTTTTTCCAATCTACAAATGTAATTACATCAGGTTATATATAGTACACTAGATGTACTGTCATATACATTTCCGCTTTCCCGGGAGCAGGCCTGATACGGACAAGGTTCCAAACCGTATAGAAATCTTTAATTGACGGTAGAACAAGTAGAGAGAAGTAAACACATCCCTCAAACAGACACGAATACAATGTTTTATTTTAATAGTTATGGTTCTCGGAATGAAATGCTGTAACAGAGTGGCAGGTTGTAGTCGGAGCCTATATGTCATCTACCGAGATCCGGGTTACAACCAAGTCTTTACAAATGTTATCCAAGACAAACGTTTGTTGGAAGTCAATTCGTGATGGTGCATTTAGCGATAATGTCAGGTTTGCCTGTATACTCTGAAATCGGGCATCCATTTTATGTTGTTTAATACATGACCGCATGCAATGATATTCATACAGTGATTCGTGTGTCTTGTGACTTTAATATGTTAGTTGAGACCTCCTTATAAATCGTGACTGGTAGGTCGTAGGTCCACAAGGATTAACAAACTTGATTAAATATAGATTAAAACTATTAAACAGTGTATATTAATGGTGAGATGGAGGTGTTGTGGGTTGGGATGAGAATAGGGAGGAACTGAAGTGTCATTAGTACCCTTATTTGGATGACCCAAAGTTCCACCCTCGTGCTTGGGCATTGACGGTTGCACGAGAAATTGTACCTTGTATCAGCGGCAGCAATATGTCCTTCATTGGCTTCAGTCTTAATAGAAAAAGCTCCGCGCTTCATCTTGTTACGTGCTCGAATCAGTGAAGGCCTCTTGTCAAGCAAGCGAACCTGCTCTAACACTGGCCATGTACTTAAGCTGTATTCTAAATAAGCTTATAGGATAAATTGACATTCATGAAGATAGTAGATTGCACAAGATCAGTTGAATCAATTTCCTATTGACTAAGCGTTTCGACGACACGGCGTGTTACGACCGACGGCCATGGTAGCAAGGCAGATGAGTGTTAAGCGTCAAGAGGACTTAGCAGGATCAGTCGTGACAAAGGAGGTGTTGCTAGTAACAACCGCACTCTTCAGACGATCGCAAAGATCCATCTGAAGAAGACTTTGGAACGATACATTTGACATAACGGCATGTGCCTGTTTTTTGTACTGTAATGTTTGTAAATTTTTTTATCAAGTGTATAGTACGTATTTGTTGTATGTATCCAAGGCTACGATACATGTACGTGTATAGAAACCTACATCATGACTTCGGAACAGATAATACCTCTCGTGCTGTCTAAATTGATATGCCGATTACTAATAAGGTAATCATTTAGCCGATAGAATCTCGGCGTCGGTGGAGGAAGGACTACAGCACAGTCGTGACAATAACGTCTAGAACACTAACATATATATATATACAGAGTTAGTGTCCTGCTAATATACCGAAATCTAACTAAACACACACACAATCAAATAATGCACGGTATGCCTGTCACCAAGAGGTTGCCTTTTGACGATGGTGACCATTTTAACCCAGTCTATGTGTGGGAAGCTGACATGATTTAGAAATTCTACCGCATCCATTTCTCCGCTGGGATTAATGATGCAATGACCCGTTATGACAGATAGCCAGCGATCCATGTTCTCTCAAGGATCCTGAAAAAAACTCATGCATTCTAATTGTATAATTTACAATCAAATTGTTCATTTATTTCGCATTTTTTTCGACAATATGGCAAATCTATGGCTACAATCGATTATCCGTGGTAGCCTGCAGTATTGCACCTAGCGGTTATTTAAACTCCTGGGTCGCTGCCGGATCTGTCCTTTTTGCCGTTACAGTATCCATCCAACCAGCGGAGCGTAATTCCCATCACCTGTTGTTACCACTACATACCTTAATCCGGCTAATGGTCGGGAACGTGTCGTACTTTGGTTCGGAGACGGACACAACACTTCGGACATACATTCTGTTATATGTAAATTTGTCCAACCTGGAATTCGGGGTAACAGAGTTAAGTTAGCAGGACATAGTACGAAGTCTGGTAAGGTCACACGGGATTCAGCTGCAGTCTGGCAAGTAAAACACGCATTGTTCTGACAATCCTTCAAACAAAAACAAATACCACTGGATAACGGTACAGCTGTTTGGATTTGAGCACGTGATGCTATTATCCGGGTGTTGAAAACGTGGTTTTACCATCCCTATATCAACACGTAGTTTTTTCTGTTCTGATGTGAATACGCTGTAATTTTGTCCGGTTTTACATTTGATATCCCCGGCTTACGTTTCATATTACATATATATGGCTTATCTTTTGTATAATTACATCATACCCAATGTCGGCAGGAGGCATTTGTATGACAAACAGGTTGGAACGCAATCATGCAATCTAATAGGCCCCAGCGCAGTTACACAAACGTGGTGGGTGCCGCTCTCTTTGACACCGCTCACAAATATTGATATGTACACGGCACAAACATCTTGCTTTCTCTGGTTCTAGGGCTGTTCATAATTCAACTCTTTTCAAAATAATTTGATAATTTTAGTTTGTGAAACATTTGTTCACGTGCACCGTCACGAGAAAGCATAACTCAATTTCCTCAGTGTGGAAAATTGAATAGGCCCCACTCTCCTGGCTGGAATTAACGAAAATTAATGATAGTCACTATTTGCATAACATGATAGAGAAATGCAGATGACGTCACAATGCACTTATGAGTCATTTGGAAACTAATTGGAAATAAATAACATGAAAAGAAAATATTCTGTGTTGTAAATTAGGTTTCTTCGATTAAACGACTTCTTCGCTTGCATGCACTGGTAAGTTCCGGTTGAAATACTCTCTCTCCTTTTAACAACAAAAGCCTCGGGAGCCTGAAAAGGAAGTGATTCCAAAAAAAGAAAAGAAGTGCTACCTAAACAACAAAGAAAGTACCACCTGAGGGGAAAGGGAGCGAGGTAGAACTAGATACAAATGATCACACAGGAAAGAAATAAACATATCATGACATATATATCCCATCTACATAGAAATCAGCATGCACTGACTTAAATGATTTGTCTACATGTTGTTTTTTTGTTTACTTCAGGAATGGGTTGACGTTCACCTGAAATGGAATGTGAGTGAGTACAAAGGTGTGGAGGAAGTTCACATGAAACCAACCGAGCTGTGGACACCGGATATCAAACTGTACAACTAGTAAGTTACACTGGATATCAAAATACACAACAAATACTTTACACCGGATATCAAGCTGTACAACTAGTAAGTTACACCGGATATCAAAATACGCAACAAATACTTTACACCGGATATCAAGCTGTACAATCAGTAAGTTACACCGGATATCAAAATACACAACTAATACATTACACCGGATGTTAAACTGTACAACTAGTAAGTTACACCGGATATCAAAATACACAACTAATACATTACACCGGATGTTAAACTGTACAACTAGTAAGTTACACCGGATATCAAAATACACAACTAATACATTACACCGGATGTTAAACTGTACAACTAGTAAGTTACACCGGATATCAAAATACACAACTAATATACTACAACGGATATCAAACTGTTCAACTAGTAAGTTACACCGGATATCAGAATATACAACTAATACTTTACACCGGATATCAAACTGTACAACTAGTAAGTTACACTGGGTATAAGACTGTACAGCTAATAAATTACGCTGGTGATTTTGTACAAATTAAAACCGTCATTATTAGTCTTAAAGTTTCAATTTTAAGGAATAAATCGGGTGAAATATGAACAATGACTATCACACTGATAGCGTTCACGCTACATGTTCCATCGACCTTCTCAAGAAAACAACATCCTTCTGAAACTTAAGATATATATTTGTTTGTGTACATTCTAACAATTAATATTTGTCTAGTCCCATAGGACAACACTTTCAATAATTACAATACTCCCTTAGATTTTTAGGATGTTAATTAAACTGATCTTTTTTAGAATACAATACATTTTAGACGGATTTAGACTAATCGATAAGAAGTTCAGAACTAAATCCATTTCTTTAAATGTAACGGAAATTAATACTTTAATTATATATTCTAATATAAATATAATTACAGAGTGTAATGGACTTTAAGAATGTAATAAATACATATTTTAGAAAAAATGTTTACTTACATACATAAAGAATATTGAATTCATTTTCATTTAATGTGAGATTTAATTAATATATAATATATGTAATTAATATTTGCTCGTCTCGTCTACTTTATATCACATAATTCCAAAAAAGTTACGTATTAACAGATTCTAAATTAAAGATGTGGAGGACAAAATAAAATCCAAGCAGCCATTTAGTTGCGCCATTTTCAATTCATTACGTAACGTCATGTCCACATTATGAGATCACAATCGATTTATGTCTGGCGCAGCCAATGAAAACACCCCGGGATACATGTTTATAACGCCAGTGACATATACACAAAATATTACATAGGCATATTTGCCAGATAACAGGCGGATTATGTGATATTTAGAGAGGAGAGGATGATGTTATGGTCACCTTCCTATAATATTTTTAATTGTAAGTTGAAATATATTGCTTATACTTAAATGTTAAATGAAACATATACATGTAAAATAAATCATCAGATGTGAAATAGAATGACGTAGTAGTTAGGTAAAACAAAACTCAACGTTAATTTTCCAAATCAGTCATGCAGTTCATTTCGATGTCGTTTATTTATATTGGTTTTGTTTAATCTTGACAGCAGAGTTAAGATGATAGCAACTTGTTTTCAATTGATATCCTAGAATGAAAAAAAACCTGTGTGTTAAGTCTCAGTTTACCAACATCACGAATATTTATTAAGTTTTCTCGAAGTAACAGAACACTGTTTACTGATCAGAAATACATGTTTAATAAATGTCTAGTCTACACCGTAAACACACAGCGGAACTGATTAATATAAGGCAGCATGGAATTATCATCCAGCTTTATCTTCAGAAGAAAAAGTTGATTAATTCAACTAAACTCTACCAGTTGTTATTATGTTTGTCGATATTAGCAACGATTTTCAAATGTATTCATTGCATAAATACGAACCAGGTATATGCAAATCATACAAGCAAAGAAAACAAAGAAAATTAAGAATAATAGCTAATATGTTGTTGGAATGAAAGAAAATAAATAAATGAATAAATGAATTTACAAATATATTTTAAGTGATACTAAAATCAATGCATGTGTATGACTTACAGAGTATAAACGCTGAGAATGTAACATTGCTGTTTTGAAAGGATATCATATTTCTACACATCTTGTTTTGTCCTTATAAGGTACATGTAGAACGACTCTTGGTTTGTCCTTATAAGGCAGAGTTTTCCGAGTTACATAAAAAAAAATATTTTTAAACATTCTGCTATGTTTCCAGCAATTTTCAGTTTCATAATCATTAGGGGATGTTTTAAACGACATTCTGCGAAAGTGAGTGTAGTTGGCAAAGCCAGCGATTTTATTAAGAACAGAACAAGTAGTCTCACCGGATATGGTCGATAGCCCAAGTTTGAGAGTATAACCGCCAACTTCATCGCTTACTCTGTGTCGTTATGGCGAATTAAACAATGCCATTATACAAAACTGGCGTCAACATCACGTTTCTGTATAAACTGAAATACTATTAAAGGATAGAAATGTTAAATTATATGCAAGGGCTTAGAAAAAAGTCTGAGGTTTCGAGTATTTGAGGTATGGCGCCTAACTGTTCGGACCAGTAAAGTATAAGGGCTGCTAGACGCTCATTCAGCGGACCAATAAAATATCACCCTCCGGCGCCATGTACATCGTATTTGGACCCTTGTATTAGTATGATTGTACCTTGGAGTTGTTTGGACCAGTATAATGTTGGGGTTGCGGCACACAAGTATTTGGACAAGTAAAATTTAAAGGAAACAGTACGCTACTGCATGGGCTAGTAAAATACATTTATGATAGATGGTGTTGTGGTGTTGTTTGAACCAGCGTAGTATTGGATACATTGAGGGCTACTGACACATGTAATGGCTTGTATCATGTTATTTCTTGGGCCAATGAAATGTGACAGTAGCGGTGCGCTATTGTTTTGATCAATAAAATATAAATAGGTTAACTGTGGCGCGTTATTGTTTTGGACCAGTAAAATGTAATAAGTGTGGCGTGTTTTCTTAAGTAAAACGTTAAAGGTTATGACGAGCATTTGTTTAGACCAGTATAATGTAACCGGTTATGGCGCGCTATGTTTTGGACCAGTCTAATATTATAGGTTGTGGCGCTCTATATTTTGGACCAGTCTAATATTATAGGTTGTGGCGCTGTATGTTTTGGACCAGTATAATGTTATAGGTTGAGGCACTCTATGTTTTGGACCAGTCTAATATTATAGGTTGTGGCGTTCTATGTTTTGGACCAGTCTAACATTATAGGTTGTGGCGCTTTATTTTTTGGACCAGTTTAATGTATAGGTTGAGGCGCTTTATGTTTTGGACCAGTCTGATATTATAGGTTATGGCGCTTTATGTTTTGGACCAGTCTAATATTATAGGTTGTGGCGCTGTATGTTTTGGACCAGTCTAATATTATAGGTTGTGGCACTGTATGTTTTGGACCAGTTTAATGTATAGGTTGAGGCGCTGTATGTTTTGGACCAGTATAATGTTATAGGTTTTGGCACTCTATGTTTTGGACCAGTCTAATATTATAGGTTGTGGCGTTCTATGTTTTGGACCAATCTAATATTATAGGCTGAGGCGCTTTATGTTTTGGACCAGTATAATGTTATAGGTTATGGCGCTTTATGTTTTGGACCAGTCTAATATTATAGGTTGTGGCACTGTATGTGTTGGACCAGTATAATGTTATAGGTTTTGGCACTCTATGTTTTGGACCAGTCTAATATTATAGGTTGTGGCGTTCTATGTTTTGGACCAGTATAATGTTATAGATTGTGGCACTGTATGTTTTGGACCAGTTTAATGTATAGGTTGAGGCGCTGTATGTTTTGGACCAGTATAATGTTATAGGTTTTGGCACTCTATGTTTTGGACCAGTCTAATATTATAGGTTGTGGCGTTCTATGTTTTGGACCAGTCTAATATTATAGGCTGAGGCGCTTTATGTTTTGGACCAGTATAATGTTATAGGTTGTGGCACTGTATGTTTTGGACCAGTCTAATGTTATAGATTGTGGCATTGTATGTTTAGGACCAGTATAATGTTATAGATTGTGGCATTGTATGTTTTGGACCAGTATAATGTTATAGGTTGTGGCACTGTATGTTTTGGACCAGTATAATGTTATAGGTTGTGGCACTGTATGTTTTGGACCAGTATAATGTTATAGATTGTGGCATTGTATGTTTTGGACCAGTATAATGTTATAGATTGTGGCATTGTATGTTTTGGAACAGTAAGTGTTAGGTTAATTGAATACTACCTTTAAATAGTATGTTTGGACTAGTAAGATATATAATGTGTTTTGTTGTGCTATTGTTTGGACTGGTAAATTGATTGGTTGGTTGAGCACTACCGCAATATGAAATGAGTTTAGGGATGATGACGTTTGAACAAGTGAAAAATAAAGGAAGAGTAATTGTTTTCATAAAACTGCTTTGATCTGCAAATTACCAGGCTCATTGCGCTCTGCAAGTTTATGAATATTCATTATACATCTATCTTTAAAGAACATGTATATATGTCATATATTCCTAACTTTAACCCAGCATATGGATGTCATATGCATTATGTCTATGTGTTTGGAGATACAAAGAGTTTTTGATATTGCTAGGATGATCAATAATTAAACCCGGTGATTGCTTTTACGGCTTATCCAGTAAATAAATTTGTCACACATGTATCGGCATTTTCGGAAGGTATCGCTTTATTTTCAAAGCTGCATTGCGCATGCGTTTGAAGCGATGGTCTCAGTAACACGCACTTAGCAATTTACTGAATTATTCGATTAATCAGTTAATTGTCATGGAAAATAGTAGAAAACGATTCCTTTCGATCAGTGCATATGCACCTGTTCAAAATAGCTCGGACCATTACAACTCTGCTTGTCAAGTGTGACGTCAAAGGAGGCGAATATTTCGGTATTATACTTGTTCTGGTCCCAGTTGTACATAGCTTGGTTAGAATTAACGAGTGACTCGTAAAAAATCAAATCGTTGTCACTGACGAAAACAAGGACTTTAAAGGCAAACCTGAGTCTTAAAACAGCCATCTAACATGTCTTAATAAATAAATCTACAGTTGTGCAACACTGTCACCTCAAAGATTGTTTCATTCATATTTGCAAAATTTCACTAACAACTCAAAAGTTAACCAAACATTGAGCAACTGGAGCCTGGATTCCAGTTAAAAAACCAAATGCTTTGGGTATGACACACAATACATATATTCCAACATACTTTTGAAGTACATTTGGTGTTGAACGGAAAACAACCGTATCATTGTATATTCTACAAAATGTATCAAAACTATAACACTTCACTACAGACAGGAATGATGTGTACTATGTAACTCACAGGAGAATCTAGTCGTGCTATAATAGACATGCACACGTGCTTTTGCGTTTTATCTTATACACCAATTTGAAAGTGATAAAAAAAACATGGCAATTATTTTATAAATAGATCATAACACTGTAAACACGTGCTTATTTGTAATCTGATTCAAATCTGCTTTAAATGATTAAAATTTGGTATCTTTTGTCACTTTTTTCAGTGCCGACGACAGACTTACAGAGAATCGTGAAGCGATGTGTGTGGTAAGGTTTGACGGTACAGTGACGTGGCTTCCTCAAGCCGTTTACAAGAGTTCGTGTAACGTAGATGTAGCTACATTCCCATTCGACAAGCAACACTGTCACCTCAAATTTGGGTCCTGGTCGTACGATGGATTTAAACTGGACCTACATTTTGTGAATGCCAGTGAAATGACTATGGACGATTATTATGTAAGCAACGTATGGGATGTCATAGAAACGCCAGCCCAGCGAAACGTCATCAAATACGTGTGCTGTACAGCCCCTTTCATCGACCTGACGTTCTCACTGACCATAAGAAGGAGGGCAACTTTCTATGCTTACATTCTCATTCTCCCCTGCGTGTTGCTGACCTCACTTACTTTAGTGCTCTTCTGGATCCCTCCGGAATCTCCGGCTAAAATGCAACTTGGTAGGTATACCCTGTCAACATGTGATAATCCTGTATAACTGTTACAGAATCTGACAATAATGAGACCTATGCTGTGTATATTCGTGACACGATTATGATTTATTCTTTTCAGGTAAAATTCAAGGAAGGTTGGATTTAAATTAATCAAAAACGATTTAAGAGAATGTTTGAATGACATTGCTTAACATGTTTGAATCATTTAGTTTTGAATAGCAATCGACGGACAAGACCGCAGGGGTTGGTACCAATGAGAAGAAACAAGGATCACACACGAGCTCGTGTACACGTGCATACTAGCAGGTCCAGTGTGGACAGGGTCACGGTACAGTATAATCTCGTTATATTGCCACTATTGTTCCAGTCATTGTTTGGCGTTATAAAGCGATTGAATATAACAGAGAGATATATTTTAAATCACTTAAGATTTTAAGAATACTTTATTTTGCGAATTTACGTTTTTCAGACGTATTCGCGATTACATGATTTCGCGAAGGCTGATTTAGAAATGACTTTAAATTCACGAATTATGAACTGTGAAATACCTGGACTCTGTACGACTCCGGAAGTGGTAACCGATTCAAAATGGATGCCATCCAGAGTTATTGTTGTACACATAATCTCCAAAAAATTTGAATTAGCGATGGAGTTTCCGCAAAAATGAATCCCACTCGAAACATAGGTGATTTATAATACACTTTGATATTAGTTGTATATAAGAAAGAGTTCTGCTATTTAGTCATGGCAGGTACAAGATCGAACAATCGGCAATATTTCGGGATTATACTGTAATGCTTTTGTCGCATTTTTAGATTATATGCATGGTATATATTTTATCTTAGTGTTTATATAATTTGGATATGATGCTACTATAGCTAGGAAACATCGAAGACACATCAAAGAAACCATAAGTCGCATTGGTGTGGTTGCTGTTACATTCATATATCGGCCGTGGAAAAACATGTCTAGTCCAATCAGTTCGAGCGAGAGCTTGATTCTGATGTGGTGGAGATGAAATTCAATATAGAGCGAAACATTTAATTTTCAATAAAACCCGACTTAGTAAATGTAGAGGATTTATATTAAATTTCTTAGCTGTGATGTTCATTTTAATCATTTGGTCGAGGATTTTGGACTGAAATGAGATAAATTCAATTCTAAATCACAAACGCATTTGATTCTTATCGACTATAAAATCCATATAACACGTGCGCTATCACATGCACTACATGCAAAAAACGAAGTTTCAGATACTAGTAAAGTTCAATGTTTACGTCTTAATTAATTCAAAATTAAAAACGAATGTTTGATACATATGTATGGGGAGACAGGAATCAAAACGTTATTGCGCTTCTTTACATTAAAAAGAAATCGTCCCAGTAAACAAAAGGAAAATACCAACAATTCAAACAAAGGCAAAACAAAACAAAGATTTACACAGAGACTCCTGCAAAAGTACAAGAATAAGACAAGGTTTTCCAGAAGGGTAAGCGTCTTCTGCTTCATCGACGACATCAGCTTTGTAAATCTTGGTCAATTCAAGAAAGTAACGCCATATTTCTGAATAACTCGAAGAACAAGGTTAGCAACAACGGAACCATCAGACATACTAACGAGCATCAAACACGTCCAACTTCATTTTTCACAAAGCAATAGAATTTTTTTTCAGTGAGATCACTGTGACGACATTAAAGCTTCCACATCATTTCCATCAACCCGCATCTCCTGTAATACTGTATTGAGAGTTTGTCAGTTGTCGACACTTTTCACAATATGATGATACGACTAGGTATCTGTACATTGTAAACTTGTTTTGTGTATATATGACTTGAATGAAACCTTGTAAATCATTTCATTTCCAGCCAGGTTATGATAAAAGTAATTACTGATTAATAACCAGGTGCAAAATTGAGATGTGTTTAGACAGCAGTGTATCCCTCTCTAATGGGCTGGCCTCGTCTGTTGCATGTTTTCTGATTCAACAATTAATTGTATAAAAGTACAGAGAGCGCTTCGTTTTGCATTTGTATGAACGAACACGATCTTTGAAAAGTACAGAATTAAATATGATTGCACAATATATGGTTGAAGCTTCAATTAAGATGGAATTAAGATACGTTATTAATATACTTAGAACTCCTATTGAAACAAAAGAGGATGAATAACTTCGCATTATGCCGTGTTTATTTGTACTTTGTTTTATGAATAATAATGATTTCTTTCATTCTGTTTTTTAAAAGCAGTAAATACTCGTGGAAAATTTCAATTACCGCAAATCTACCCAGCTAACGGCACGCGAGGCAGTATGCATTCTTTTATTGCTGTGCGTTGAAGCATTTGATTTAATACTAGTCAATTCATTTAGCTGTTTATTCAACATTTCGACAGTTACATGGTTTTCCTGACGGCTATATTTTAATTAAACATGCTTCACTGTAATAAGAAGGAAAGGAAATCGAAAGATGGCGGGCCATTGAGCGCTTGTGTGATGGTAGGATTACACTAACAAGCCAGAGTATGTCAGTGGGGTGTGTGCCCGCCCACTGATACTGTTACAAACAGCGTTTACATAGGGATACTGACAGAAGAGTTGGAGGGGGATAGCCGATCGATACAACCGGGTGGTTAATCGTGTCATACTGCCGTGTAAATCTGTTACACTACATGCAGGTATTTGTACCAGGGCTGGCGGCTAATCTCCGTGCTTTGTGAAGATTTGTAGTAAGAGTGCTAGTGGCCATCTTGTAAACGTAATCAGATTTCAAACAGTTTCCAGTCAACATCTGACTATCAGAGCATCCCCTACATTTTTCAAAGCCATTATCTTTTAGCATAAAGAGGTTAGCTCTACTACTACATGTACAACCTGGCTAGATACTTACATTCTTTAACGTACTGTCAAAGATACAAGCGGTAATCCTATTATCTGACTGATAACTTTAACGCTTGTCGATGTTTTCTCATAAGTTCCTGCATGGAATATTACAGTTGCTATATTTTCACGACATCTGTTATGGGATGCTGTCGTTAGTACTTGTTTCCTAGTGAATATTGTAAAACGGTACCACTTATTCTAGCTCAGATAAAAAAAAATCTGTACACTATTGCTGGATGTTTGGTAGCCCCGGGAATATGTTAAAATCAGTTCTACCTTCTCTCGAGTTCTGATAAAGGTACTGTATTAGAACAGTTTGCTTGAAACAGTTTTACATTTAAAAAAATGTATGTAATTGCTTCTAATGAAGTTTGATTAATGCATTTAATTGTGTATTGCCATATAGAGAATATACTCTGTGTAATGGTTAGGTCTGGCCAACAGTACTCTAACGTAAAGGATGTCTCCTCATCTTGGTGACCTAATTTGGCTAGCGTTGTCTGAGACTTGACTTTATAATAAGTACAGTGTTGAACGCTGACTGTAGCTAGGACGGACGTGACCCCGCCCAGGTTCTCGTTCCCCGGTGACACTCAAAATGTAAGCCGATCCCACGTGCGTCTGCCATCGATCCACTTCACACCGCGGTTTCTCTTGCTTTGGTCAGATATGACAATAAAAACATCTTTGCCGTCTTTGTCACGGTATTATGGCTAGTTTTACCTCCGTACTGTTACATCAACGGGTATGTATCCTCTCACAATACAGACATAGTAGAACAGTTATGCTAACTGTTCAAGTTATTTTCTTCGTGTTTATCTTTTCACGTTTTTCGTGAATAAGATAAAATTGTACAAATAGAGCTATTGAAAACAAAACAATTCTAACGACAACCAGTCCATTTCACGACGGCCTTGGAAATACATCTCCTTTGCAAAAAACTTAAAATAAAGACCGCAGAAAAAAAGAAACATCTAAGAAAGATACGTAGCATTATAAGCACACGCTCGTAATCGTCTTGGTGTTAGAGTCCATCCTCACGTTCTTATTTAAATGACTAAAATAATTCTTTTTGTAGTTTAGTCATTCCATGGGCAAGACTTGCTGCTCAAATGTTTGTATCTTTTTTTTTACAGAATAATAAGCTGTGTCAGTGAATGTTTTATTTCAGAATGCTGAAAAAGACGTGATGGTGTTGATTTTTTGCCTTTACTCGTTAGAACCATTCCCTGAAAGACATAGGACAACATCAAAATTGCAAAAAATTAAAATATCGGCCCTGAAAATGACACATCCTGGGAGATAGTCACAACAGTGAGAGGCTGTAAAGACCATTCTGTGTGGTAGTTATAATAGTAAGATACTGTAAATAACGTTCTGTGTGGTAGGCATAATAGTTAGAGACTGTAAGGAACGTTATGTGTGGTAGTCATATTAGTAAGAGATTGTAAGGAACGTTGTGTGGTAGTCACAACAGTGAGAGACTGTAAGGAACATTCTGTGTGGTAGTTATAATAGTAAGAGACTGTAAGGAACGTTTCATACAGTTGGTGATGAGACGGTAGGACATGGTAGGGTGATAGTTGGTAGTTTGTGATATAGTAAAACATGATATGAGAGTGAAAGTTACTGCTGTATGAGACTAATAGACGTGGTATGGGTGAACGCTGTTGCAGTATGAGACTAATGGACGTTGTTTGGGCGATAGGCAGTACTGTATGAATTAATAAGACGTGGTATGGGTGAACGCTGTTGCAGTATGAGATTAATTGACGTTGTATGGGCGATAGGCAGTACTGTAAGAATCTATAAGACGTGGTATGGAAGGTAGTTTTACAATATGAGAATGTTAGACGTGGTATGGGCAGTAGTTGGTTAGGTTAGATTCCATATTGTTGGAAGACATTGGCCATCATATAAAAAACACATCATTTAATATTTATATTTTCTCAAAAAATTCTCAAAAGACTTTCCTATATGAAGGTAGTATTGATATATGGTATGACCACACCTAGAATTCCATGATCTCCAGATTTTATTTTCATTTTCAAAGAATTCGATTTTTTAACATAGCAAATAGTTTTCAATCCTTACGTGAATTACTAGTGTCATACGGCTTGTTTACATTATTTGTTTACCTGTTTTCACACTGTCTCAACAATCGAATTCATTGGGAGATTTAAATGGAGATCCACTGAGCTTTGTTGACAAGCGGAAGTTGCCTGATTGCAACTGAGGTTATATCAGTACGCAGTATAGATTGTTCTTAACAATCATAGCATATATATATATACACTGAGTAAAACATTTACAAAATCATATATGCTAAAGTATACAAGAAATGGCCGTGGAAATATATAAATAGGAATCGAGAACACAATTCCCATTCCCTAAATAATGTAAATGTAATTATGATGTAGATTGTTCCTGATATTTACATTGTCTGGTTTCTTTGCTTAACTTTAGACATTCTGTCATTTACTGCCTTAACGTAATTGGGGCACCAACATGTTCGTGCTCAATATCAATTTTATAGTAGGAATATGACCCTTGATAAGACTAGTTCTAGAGGTAGTCTCTTATTCTAGATGAAATTACAGGGTAAGAAAAGGAGGGCCACTGTAACATATATGTTATTAGGGATACCTTTCAACAAAAGCACTGAAACACGCATGACATTCACGTTTTAACTTAATGCTTATCTGTAGTCATATTTTTTGCACATTTCATATTTGAGTGAAAATGTATGCTCACGGTGTGTGTGCTACGTCGTGTGTGTCTTAATGAAAGTAATGAATACGTAAGTACAGCAGTATCTTCTAGTAAAATATCGGCCTTAAATATGATGTTTTTATCTTTTGCCAGGAATGTCCATTTTTATGGCTTTCTTCGTCTTACTGTTGTTGTTTGAAGGCAATCTCCCTCCTGCAGCAAACGCGGTTCCCGTCCTAGGTAAGCGGATTGATGGCCTACTCACCTTAATGCGTTTTACTTTTGTCTCTTACCTCCAGGAATGAGTATATTCATGGCATACTTCGTCTTGTTGTTGTTGTTTGAAGCAAATCTTCCACCGGCCGCGTCCTCGGTACCCATTTTAGGTAAGGTTGGTTATTGTGCCACTCTCTGGCTGTCGTGACCGAGTGTGTTTTTTCTTCATACTGTAGTTGGCTGGCCGTCATTTCATCTTTCTTTTCCCTGTTTTGTGTGGTACCTTAGAACAGAGTAGAATTTTTGAGTTGCAGTTTTGATTGATATCGCCAACCACTTAAGGACCCTGGGATGACCTACTCCGTAATTCTCTAGTCTCCACTGTTGATGACAAGAACTGTTTTGAGAACCCTCGCTCATAGCTTCGCATTCTTCTTTTATATTCCAATATAGCTATTTCCCTTCTGACAATTTGGCTGCATTTGGAACTCGTAGCTTACAAAGCAAAGTAGATAACCAGTAGCAAAAATCTATTAAGAGAATGCAACCGCATATCACATCATGTGTTTCTCCATCCGATTTTTGCAACTCGCAACCTTTTTCTATGATACTCAAAATATTGTTTTTGGAATGAAGATATCATCATTCATTATATCTGTTTTGTATAATTTCATTTACAGAATATCATTTTATAGATACAGGATTCTCATAGACTCCCATAATAAAATATTGCGTTTGCAAAATTATGCAGACTATTAACGTCCAAAAGCCTATTACGCGGTGCGCTTCGGGCGCTGTAAGCAAAGAGTACTCTCATTTCAAACTTATCTCAATGTAGCTGCAAAAATGTCGCTCGCATATTGATTTAGTCTATTTCAAAAGATACATCCCAATTCTCAAAACAAGTTCGTTTAACTGTCAATTCCAATACAGACTGAAACACTGAGCATGTGATTACCAATGATCTAGTCAGCTATGCTAAAGGCGGTTGCACATGGAATCAATTAATCTAATTACATACCTCACATTAATTCAACCATTCCTGCACATGCATAGTTCTACAGTAACAATTCTTCACGTACGTTATTATAGTTCGAACTACCCAGTTACTGCACATATGCCTAATTTTTGTGCTATAACAAATATCCCTTCGTTGTCCGCCAGTGGAAAACCAACCGTTGAAAACGCGTAAGTGATGCGCATTGCATACATTGAAGTACAAGCTACATGGCAGGATAATTCTATAAGTGGACAAGGGGTCTATGGACTGAGTATAGCTAAATGGCATGTTTCCTTGACACCTATGTTGTAACACACGTGACTTTATACTGCAGCGTTGCTCAGACTGGTACTTCTTTGCGACAGAATTATCCCCATGGAGATAGTATGCATACCGCATCAACACTCGTTCACGATGGGACTCTATCTCAGGGCTAACGGGTCGACGTCTGTGACACTCTGTGTCCTAACTGTATTTTACTTCAGTCTCGTGTTTTGGATCAGGTGATTTTGTAGACTAGTTTCTCTTTCACCCAACACTGTCAATATGCAAGTAGTTGATTCTTTAGCTGATGTTACACGCCTTATCCCTTTAGTATGCGAGTTGCAATGTCAGCGAGTAAACCTTACGAGTAGTACTCAGAATCTGCGCGGATGGTACTTCTGTATACTCAGTAGATGGTACTTCTGTTTACTCAGTAGCTGGTACTCCTGTATACTCAGTAGATGGTACTCCTATTTACTCAGTAGCTGGTACTCCAATATACTCAGTAGATGATACTCCTATGTACTCAGTAGATGGCACTCCTCTTTCAATTCATACTTCTATACTTTGTGGCTTGGTTCTGAGGGTGATCAGCTGCTATACACTATAGACTTACCCCTAAAATCAAGTAGAGTATCTGTTAACGTAGAGCGCATCTGTCACCATAAACATGACTCTGTACGTGTAACGTTATTGGACTTGGTACCGATCGGGTTATCGGTCAGCCTCCATGTCCACGAACCTAGACATGTGTCGATTGAAACCCATGTCTATGTTGTCTTAGCTATTTTCAGGTAAACTATAAAACTGGATTCTCTCGAGACGGTAAGGTCAACACGTCAAGGGTAATATGTTGCTTTGGACCGAGAAAGAAAAAAATCATTGATCGAGAGGCTACCAACGACTGGTCGGGTTCTGATCTAAACTTATATAGAATATATCATTGACACTTCACATCCGTTTCGTACCCCAGGGGCGCCAGTATGGAGCTCCATTTAATGGTAGCGATGTCTCCATACTGCAGCAATTAGGTTAGGAGACTTTCAGTAACTTGAGTACCAAGATAACGCCTTATATTATGTTAATATACATATAATCTGACACCAGTGTCATTTATCGAGGTCCGTTATATCATGCTTAAACATAGTATAATAAGTTAATCCATTTTTAAAGCATAGCACTGCCATAATTTATAAAAACCTGTCCGATATAACATTTTAATACACAAAACGTATATCGCCGTAGAGTTTTATTAGTTCCATTTGCCTTCTATTCGTTTGATATGCATTTGAAATACTAAATCATCATTTTATCTTACATTTTGCTGCTGTTTCCATAGCTTTGCACATCCATTAACACTTTAACATATATTATGCATCTTTTTCGATAATTATTGTACTAAGCATGATGTGTGTCACTAGCTCAAAAGACATAGCACACGATATCGACACACTTGTATACATTATGTACATGTGAATGTCGATTACATTGTATGTATCATTAGTACTCCAGCTTTGTTTCCGCAGGTTTCCTGTGTAGGTAAATAACTAATGTATACTTATGTCAATCAACAGTAGATACATATGTTGAATATGAATGTTCTAGATATTCATGTGATTAGAAACCATTGTATGTCAATATGATTATGTATACAAATATGTTGACGTTTATTTTAACATGCCGATTACAAATTTTCAGTAGTGTTAGATTTAGTAGTATATGTTTATTGAATGTTGTGCTGATATTGCCGATTCGATTGTCAGCATGATTTCTGCGCTCAGTAATGGTACTTTGTAACAAAAATAGGCAAACTGCCGTAATAGATACCGCCTTGTGTAGAAGAGGCGCCGGATTCAGTCGTTACTTCGACTCACTAAAGTAATTCACGTGGTGGCATGACCTTAGACACACCTTCTTCAACGTGACGATAGGGCAGTAGATGTAAGCAGTATAGCCTGCACACCAAGAGCTGTTGTGGAGCCAGCTAAACCAGCTGACGGAGAAGCAAGCTCATTTTGGTAGTCGCTATGTACGTCAGTACATGTGGTTGGTGTGAGGGTGGTTAGATACACAATGAAGCATGCCCAGTCTTTGTTAGTATTGTGAATCGCTTAACAGAGCTGAATCAAACTAAACGCTATAGTAAGGCAATAATCTGTGAAATCAACCTTCTCTGTTTATCACGTCTATACGAGCCGTGAATAGTCAATATATAATGCTTATTGTTTGGCGCTTTGACGCTCAGCTGCATCAGCCGCCAAAGTTTCCGGGGAGCTAACTCGAGTAAGAGATGCTATGCTTGTCGAATACTGCATTCTTCTCGTTTCGAAGAGCAGTATGTTTATGTTAAAGAACAGCATCGCCTTGTTGTCTATCAAATAGTATAAAAAGTATAAAATAAATACTCCAAAATAAAAATGATGCAATTGTACCATAGCGGTTTCTAAACGGTAACTGTTCGAAAATCACCAACAAAAACAAACAAATTTGTTTCTCTAAAAATATTATACCTTAAGGAGAATATTTGTTCACCAAAAGGGTAATGTCTACCCATCAAAATAGTAAGGTTCATCCATCAAGACTGTTAACTTTAAATTGATAGGCCCGAGGTTTGCCAATCATTGTAACCAAATTTCCTTTGCCATACAATGAGATCATCTAAACAAAATAGTAATATTTTCTTGTGGAAGCACTCCAACTGTTAAGTTTTCACACAAGAAATGGTTGATTTTGCCACTAAAATAAGCATCGAATTAAATATTCATATCCATTCATGTTTTTTCTTTCCGTCATGAAATCTTTACCTTCAAACCAAACACGGTTGCCAATATAGCTGCAGAACACATGTATTTATTTAAGGCATAAAATGCTCACTAAATAGGTCAGTTTACAGTATTTTCAAAACAAAAACTCATTAGTGAATTAAAACATGATAATTTAGAGAAATTAATGCACACAGACTGAATTTGTCATACAAACATATCAGAGTAGTCTTTTAACTCAGTGGTGCTTCCGAATGACAAGACGGCCATTTTCCTCTCAAATAAGTGATCCTTTCCAACTACAAAAGTACACACAACAAACGACTCTTTCAAATATGCCAGCTTTATTGTTTTTAGCAAAAGCGTTTCATTTGAAAATTATTGCATTGAGGTCTTCTTTTGTAGAAATAACATCAAAATATTTTTTTAATCCAAACACTGGTCATAAAGCTGTAACCTTTTCCCTACCCTCTAAATGTGTTAACGTCTATATGATATATTTTAAGATTAACATAAGAAAATTAATATTGTAGTACGCTTCGGCCCGGGCTGTAATGTGTTTCGGCCATACTATTGATCTACTTGATCTCTTGTGTATTTTTATGTTTCGAGCGCTTTAAAATTATTTTATAAATGTTGATCAATTTTTATGGGAATGAAAACCTGACTATGGTCAACATATTTTTTTTTCTTATCTCTCAACATTAAACTATTTTTACCCGGAACACTACAATTGTAAATTTTGTAATTTTGAATAGCTTAGTACATGCTATCAAAACAATACTTTAACAAAATTTTCAAAACTTGACAAATGTATATAAATATATATGATAAATATCAGCTGATGTCCTAGAAATTTTTTTTAAAGAGTCTTCTATATAAAGAGCTACATGGTTGTTTAATATATTTAATATCTGTGAATAAATCAGACCACAGAATTTTTTTTCGATGGTCTTATTTAAATTTTTGCTGCGATTTAATCATAAACCTTAAGTGTTTGTTAGAAAAAAATCAACAAAAATACAAATATGTCACCAGAATCTTCATTCGAATAAGGGACCTCGTGAAAGTAACAACAGGAAGATTTAACCAAAGAACTATGAAACAATACTGTTCAGCGACTTGCATATATTTTCAACATGGTATGTTGTGAATAAGCTTATTTCTAAGAACGCATTTTCGAAGTTTTAAACGCGCTGAAATATGATTGTGCCAAAACGTTTACATTATATATCGTTTGATACACAGGTTTTTAATCCCGAAAATATTGTGTCGTCGATTGAATTCGATAAAACACAAACAATATCAAAATATCGCAAAGCAGAACCCTGAACACAACATTAAATCCACAAAACATTTTTGTATGAAAACTAGAACCTTAACTACAGACAATGCAGTGACCAACACTTGAGTGAGTTTGGTTTTTTTCCTGTAATTAATTTTCCTGACTAATCCTGACCCTACAATTGTGTTTGCTTTTTATCATGTCTTCTTATCACCTGTGTTTCGGTTGATGCCCCTCTCATACCTGTTTTGGTTTTGTTATTTACCAGTTTTCTTAAAATATATATGTTGTTGTCTAACTTTAATATTTTGTTTATTTTCTTTTTTTTTATAACTGTTTACTTTCTATGTTTTAAGATTCGTTTATCTTTGTAATACTGACAAGACTGTTTTCATATGTTCGTAAATATCGCCTAACTGTACTGCTCTAAGAATGAAAACGAAAATACATGTCCCATATAAATACATCATATCTATACCACACAAGTCACCTCACTATCAAAGAATAAACAATACAAAGCAAAAACGATAAAAATATTAGACACCGACACCAATAATGATATAAAGTAAAATATTTAAAAGCTCCAACAATTATAAAGAATTAATATTATATTGATGATAATGCCATCAGAGTGACTATTTGAAACGCGAATAATTCTGGTGATACAACACCTGTTGCTTGCTAGTGTGGCAGCTGATCATGGTAAACCCCGTTAACCAACAGCCACTTCTTCCGAACCATTCCGTTGTTGCAAATGTCTACCGTGACATGGGCAGCACTCTCCAGTGTTTCTACTTCTTTCCCCTTGTCTTTTATATCTCTTCTCCTCTTGCTGCCATTCTGGGATCAAGGTTTGTTTTCTATGATCATTAACATGCCTGTATGACATGTGTCTTTTGTCCACAATGCTGTGTGGAAACTGTGACTCTTATACACACAAGATATTGATGTACACCAAGGCTGCCAATTGGTTGGGTTGGTGATAAACAATGTCAGTTTCTGTGGATTTTGTTTTGATGATAGCTATTACCAAGTGTTTCGATCTCTGTGTCTGGCCTGGTGATCAGTAAGTATATATGTATGTTTTGGCCTCCGCCCGCACTTTCTAACTTCGCGTTCGTGTTAGGAATTCACACTTAAGCAAAAATTTAGAACAATGATTTTACCAACAGAGCAATATCGATATAGTTAGAGCTATAGCGATGTACAGTTACAATTATGTTATTGTACATTTGCTAAAACAGTAGATAAAATATAAAGAATTTGACGATTTGCACTTATAAGTCTTAACATATAATTATATATATTTATTTATTTTTATTTTTTAATTTGAATGTTCATTATTATTTTTGCAAGGATATTTAAATTTATTAGATTTTCTAGATATTTTTCCTCGGAACTTTCTTTTCTGCAATATAACTTCAATTAATGATGTGCTGTTTCAATAACTGCTCTAATTATTTAACAAAACTGTCTTAATGTGTAGTTTTCATCGAAATTAATTAGAGAATATATGAACACCCTATTATCTTTCAAGTAATTAAATAACTATTCATAAGAGAGTAAACCGCTCGCGGCAGGAGGCGGGTTGATTCCGAACAGCTTAACTCATACACCAGCAGCAGCGAGTGGCACGACTCGGTTGTGGGTAGGGGACGCATGATTTTACATCTTACATAACATACTTACTATTTCTGTTTTGCAGGAACATATTATTGCCTGAATATGGTACTAATTACTCTTTCATCATTCCTCAACGTTTTTGTGGTGAATATTTCCTTCATCGGAGCGAGGGCAGCTGTCCCCTACATGTTGAAAAGGGTAAGTAGTTTATGAGATGCTTATTTACTATGTAACGGTTTAAAAAGAAAACAAAAAAAGAAACCAAATCAGTTCATTAGTCTTAAGATTCAACATATAAACAGTTAAGGAACATCAGAGTCATTTTATACAACTGTTAATTATGTACTATTCCAACCAAGATATGTTTTTATAGTCAGACGACCGTTAAGGCCCCTGGGCCTCTTGTTCTAAGATCTTTTTCTTCGTTATCTCTCCCCTGACACTGCACACGTTTCGGCCGTGAGTTGAGCGTTCGCCTCTGCGAAGTGGCTTTGGGTTCTGTCCCCTGGTTGAGACATAACAGAGTCTTTAAAATGGTAGTTACTACCTCCTGTTTTGTGGTAGTGTAACGACTTGATTGATCGTTGTCAATACCAATGCAACGGGATGAGATGTCATTGGAATATACTTCAGTGAGATAGCGCTATAAAGTCGGCTTCATTTCCACACTATTACAAAAGTGTTCATATAACGATATATTAGCCTACAAAACCACACAAACTCACTCTCAGCACATACACTCAGCACACACACTCAGCACACACACTCAACACACTCACTCAGCACACACACTCAGCACACACACTCAACACACTCAGCACACACACTCAGCACACACACTCAGCACACACACTCAACACACACTCAGCACACACACTCAGCACACACACTCAACACACACACTCAGCACACACACTCAACACACACACTCATCACACACACTCAGCACACACTCAGCACATACAATCAGCACACACACTCAGCACACACTCAGCACACAAACTCAGAACACACACTCAACACACACACTCAGCACACACACACAGCGCACACACTCAGCACACACACTCAACACACACACTCAGCACACACACTCAGCACACACACTCAGCACACACACTCAGCACACACACTCAGCACACACTCAGAACACACACTCAACACACACACACTCAGCACACACACTCAGCACATACACTCATCACACAAACTCAGCACACACTCAGCACACACACTCAGCACATACATTCAGCACATACACTCAGCTTGCATACATCATGAGATCGTCCTTAAATGGTCATGGTTCTTGATAGGAAATTTAACAACATGAACTTAACTAATCTTACATCAGATATCAAAATACATCGTTTCAACTTATGCCAACGTAAAAATTCTTGAAGAGACAATATTATACTATCCCTCAAATCGTCCTAATAGAACATTCAAGCTGTCGATGATACGCAGCATATCAAATACTTTTTAAAAATAAACTGACAGTTAAGAGCGTTACAATCAGCCAAGTCATTTAGATTCGGTAAACGACAAAACTACTACTACTACCGCATTCTAAAATCGAATAAAATTATGTCAAATCATATTATGGCAAATAACAAAAATTATACGACTGAAAATTGCTATCAGTGTCATTGCCTCAAAATGATAAATGCTAAATAGAGTCACTTGCACGAAATGAAGGATGCACAAACTAGTCCAGATCACGATTTATTCTGACTTGTTTCATTATACACCTACGGGGTTCACATACCATCGAGGATTGGAACAAGGATGGAAAATAGTAGTGTAACGTAACTGACTCTTCTTCTTTCTCTTAAACAAGTGGGGATTGTTTTAGTCCAGTACACCTCACTTAAGTTACTTTATTCACTTCATATTTCGCACGGAAAATTGTTTTCATACAAGTTTTCTTGAAATTATTTGCGAAGAAAAAAAAAAAAAAAGTACCGACATGTGATCGTATTCAAACTCCAGTTCGTTGGAACTAGGGCGAAATATGAACAAAGAACATATTTACATGGAGTGACTCACGGAAAAATAGAAAGAGCATCATACAAGGAAACGTGTCTCTTCTACTTCATCGGCTAACCCGTCATGTAATTCTTGATCAATTCAATAGAATTATGTAACGTTCTCAAATTGGAACAATGTAAACTATAACGTAATCCAATGAACAAGCACTAAAGTCGTTTTTGATTCTCGTCTGTTATATTTCCAACATTTTGCCAATATCAACTCCATAAAATTTATCAATGTTATTAATCATCCCTCAACATAAACACGCCATTTCCGTGAAATGCATTTGCCTAATTCAGAATTTCACACTCCCTCATATCTTTCATTGGAAGGAATTCCCAGATATACGTTTTCCTCTTCTGTTTCATCAGAATATATACACATTTATTCTTCGTGGTTTACTGTATTATCCGAATTACGTAATACAAACGCACTAATACAGTTTTGTCAAATAACACTTCAAGGATAGAATTATAAGACGATTTAGGCAAACATAAAAAATTGAATCGCGTTTTTTTTTTTGCTCAATAATATTGACACCCCGCCCCCCCTACAGAAAGCAGAGAATGCTGAACAATAAACAGGAATTAGTAACTAGTATTTTAAAAAGACTGGTATATCTAGGTCGGGGTACAGAGCCCGATATCTTCCTCCGATGGAACAACCCTCAACTAAAGGCCAAAATTCAAGGGTGATATTCCGAACAAGCACGAACTTTAAAAAAAAAAGAGCGAAAATAAAAACTCTCTTACGATCAGGCAATGGTGACAGTAGGTCAAATAATTTTCCTTCATGTGTTGGTCGGTATTACTGTAAGTTATGTCTTAAGCTCCGTAATGGTCAGTTATATTATTGTAGTAGGTTGTGTCTTAAGCTCCGTAATGGTCAGTTATATCATTGTAGTAGGTTGTGTCTTAAGCTCCGTAGTGGTTAGTTATATTATTGAAGTAGGCAGTGTCCGTAATGGTCAGTTATATCATTGTAGTAGGTTGTGTCTTAAGCTCCGTAATGGTCAGTTATATCATTGTAGTAGGTTGTGTCTTAAGCTCCGTAGTGGTCAGTTATATTATTGTAGTAGGTTGTGTCTTAGGCTCCGTAGTGGTCAGTTATATCATTGTAGTAGGCAGTGTCCGTAATGGTCAGATATATCATTGTAGTAGGTTGTGTCTTAGGCTCCGTAGTGGTCAGTTATATCATTGTAGTAGGTTGTGTCTTAGGCTCCGTAGTGGCCAGTTATATCATTGTAGTAGGTTGTGTCTTAAGCTCCGTAATGGTCAGTTATATCATTGTAGTAGGTTGTGTCCGTAGTGGTCAGTTATATCATTGTCCTAGGTTGTGTCCGTAGTGGTCAATTATATCATTGTAGTGTGTTGTAATTATATGCAGTGAATTAAACCACTCATATATTAATGATATCATAACAGTAAAAGTCCTTTAGTATCTAAGATGATATTTATCACTGCGTTGCATTGCTATGGCGTAACATGATCAAAGATTAAAATCTCATCAATTGCCAATGGCATAGAAGTTTATGTGAACAAATTGAGATTTCATTTCTCAATTGAAATGATTAATATAACCATCGTTCAGCTTTAAGTAAGCATTTCTGGGCATTATGAATAAAAACAAACTTGAAATGAAGCTTTGAATTTCTCCTCATCCAGTTGACATTCATAATAGACAGGAGAGACACCTGAAATCAATTTAGAGCTAAGTAACCTCAGAGAGAGATATGTATTGAGCCCTGTGATAATACATTATCAAAACAGAGATTGGTGATTCAGATCTTGGACATTTTCATGTTACCGAACTTCTTTGTCAACATTCTTAAAAACAGAATGTTATAAAATCTATACAAACATCAAAGTTGACAGTATTGTCACTCCATAAATCTTTATTGACGTCATAAATCATATGACGCTGCGAAACTGATGGGAGAAATGAAACCATAGGGACCTTCAGCCAATCATAGCTCCATTAGATTGTATCAGACGTCATGTAAACTTGTAATTACACTGATAACATAGTAGTTATTTGATCAATTACATTTTTATCCACTCAATGTAAATTACATTACGTAATCGTGTATATTATAAAGTATAGGACATTGTATGTACCATATCAGCTCAAATGAATTTACAACAAAGCATCCTCAAGGTTAATAAGGTAATCAACACTACTTGGCATAAAATATGTTATCTTAATCAAAAGGAGAGGGGGTGGAGGGGGTGGGTTGGGTGGGGGGCATAATTCACTATGTTGGTCTGTTTGTATTACGAACACAACTACCGTAAAATATATGCTCAAGCGTTTTGGACTTTCATATTAATAACGTGTTTTACTTTTAATGCACTCTCATTTATGAAAAGTGACTTTCGAAGTTTTTCTTAAAATCGTATTGAAAGTCTCAATATGGGCCCAGCGAGTTATTAAAGATTTTTGTTCGCGGTCATTTAGGAAGTTTGTTATTTTACGAACTTAACCATTATGAGCTACAACTACAGAGTATTATCTAAAATTAAGGATAATGTTTATTACAGGTAGTTGTGTTCGTTATCGTTTGAGCTGTAATTGATATTAAAGATGGACGCCAGCGGTCATTTCAGTTCATGGTATTTGAATTTATTTCACCTTTTTAAAGAACTGTCGAAAGGATCTATGATACTTCTGGCACAAGTTGGGATTGTAGCCTTGAAGAATGACGCACTCTAGTGTTATGGTTTATCCAGGCCAAGGGGATGCCAGCAGCTAGTGTCATGTTTGTTTCCTCGGTTTTTATAGAACTGCAAATAGAATCAGCATGTTACTGTGAGATATTGTCATTGTTAATCATGTTTGTGCACATTCTTGGGCAGGATGAGTTGTTCAATTCAACTGTCATTTGTCATTTTGTATTAGAAATTGTAAATGAAGATTCTCGAAATACTTAATTCTTACTAATATTATGTTGTCGAACGGAAAATGTGGATTGGTTTGTTGTGTCACGTTATTAAAATTGTTTTGTTTGGGAGTAAAATGTCGCCTTCCTATTCGATAAAAACTTTGATTATACCGAAAGTTAAAATCACAATAGGTCGTAATAAACACAGTTTATACAGCAGTGTGCACTTTTTGTTTAACTAAATTACCATCACATCTCTCGCTGCAGCAGTAAATCACAATGTGGCCTCATCATAGGGAGAAACCATCGAAATCTGGCCTGCTGGGTTATAGTATCCTTGATTAAAGGCTATTGGTTACATGGTCATCAACATCTGTTCTTAGTGCAGTATTTATCGAAAGTATTCTAGTCACCAGCACTTTTATGAAGTTACACGTTTTACCAGGCTGTCATTTCTCTAGCCGTTTAAACACTAAACAAATATAGTTTTTTTGGTAATATGAACAACATATTTCGCAGGGCTTAAATTTCGCGGGCACCTGATTTTCGACTAATCTTGCTCAAGACATTCATTAAATTAAATATTCATGGCAACTTTTAAACTGTTTATTAATTTATTGACATGTTAATTTGTAAGTTAAACGCACACACGGAATGATTAATTTATTTCCGGTTCAATACCTGTCAGTGTTGAAAAGAAATAAAGTTGACACTGACGGGGTCTACAATGGATATGATATATAAGAATGACTCTATAAGTATGTTTTTTTTTTCTGTTCAACAGGTGATGTTTTCATTTGTGGCGAGGGTCGTCTGCATGGAGAAACTCGTCTTGCCTTTCAAAGACGATGGTCAAGTGACGTGTCCGCCATCGCGCCGATGTATGATCGGCAATGGTGAGAACAAATGGGCGCCCCCTAACAACTGGCGAGGGTCGTCGGAGATGACGGCTAACGCCCAAACCGAGACAGTACAGAACCCTCAGCTGGCCGAGATCCACGCAAAACTTAGCGAAATACGAAATTTCATCAAAATGTATAAAGAAAGACTAGAAGAAAAAGACAGAAAAGAGAAAATGGCCAAAGAATGGAAGGCTTTGGCACTGGTGTTTGACAGAATATTCTTTATAATTTATATATCAACTATCACGGTGTCTCTGTGCGTGGTCCTTCCTATCATATTTAGTAGTTGATATATATGTTTAGGCGTCAATTACAAAAACAACTCAGTTAGAGAGAAGAATCAAAGTGTTAACTATGTATGTCTACATCATAAAGATTAGTGTATAAAATTTTGCGTCTCACCAAATTGTTTCATTGTGTAATCCGGATTATTTTGACGTGTGGTATTTTTATATGAATCGTCTTCAGATTGTAAATATAACCATGGTTAATTATATTTACAACTTCTCTTGCTATGATAAACATGCCTGGTAGAAGCCAGTTTCGTGTTGCTGTGCAGTAGTTTGTCAGATCGGGCTGTAGAAACTGATTAATCATATCTTAGGAAGTGTAATTAACTGGATGATAGATGAGATCGCGATACCCAAAGTGGACTGTGATTAGTGTGGGTACTAGCTCCACTCGTGCTGCTCTGATCGGGTGGAACTCCGCCATGTTCAAGGGTGGAGACAAACTCCACAGTATGGAGTGGAGAACAGTGTTGTGGGTGGTGCCAACTGTAAATAATTTTTTTCCAGCACTGGTTGCCGTACCGCATTATGCTGTCAAACTCGTTTGATAGATTATATAATGTGTATAACTATCATGTTAAATTCACTATAGACGTATTTGTATTTTTCACCTTAGTCACCTGGTCTTCTTAATATACGGACAACCTTTACTCATTCTGTCTGTACTAGGGAGGTCATAGCATCTATACAGGTTAGTAGTGGGTGAGATTGGGTTTAATCTTAATGTCCGTGTATTATATGTGCTATATATACATGTATCGGCTCGATGACACGTAAAATAATTAAGAAAATTGAGTGAGTGTTATCAAACATTTAAATTGTAGAGAAAGTCAGCACTGTTTAGATAAACGGGAGGAAGTGTTATATAAATGAATGTCGTTGTAGATGTTTTCCTTGTATACAAGGCTGACAACCCTGTTTGCCAAAATATCTGTGTAAACCTACCTTGTATTTGTCCCACATGTCGCTCATAAAAAATGAAGGTTCCAGGTTTACCATTTAACTGTTGACAAGTATTATCATGTATTGTTTCTGAGTGATAAAAATAAAACCGGAAGCTCTGGTCAGTTTCCGGTGACGTCACTACTACACTGTTGGGTAGTACCCCGATGCTGCTGTTGTTATTTACGTTTTAGTTGATATTAAATTATTTATTGATAAAATATATAGTTCCTGACTTCCATATATAAAAATGGTGTACATCTCGTGACGTCGTGATTTCACGAGAGTGTTCGACCTTGGTTGACCTCGAGACGAAAGCACTTCGTACGTGATGCACCATTTGCCTATGCAAGCATCCTTTTGTACATATGTATATTGTACCGGGCGTTGGTCAACGAATGGTGTTGCTGAATTACACTGCATCTCATTAGGTGGGCTTTCTCCTCCCTACCATGCACTCACGTGCTGTGACGAATCGTGCGTATGATTTCTTAAATATGAAATTTCTTTTTGTCGTCAGTACAACTCACAAACGTTTATCACAAAATTTACCATTGCGGTAATTCTGTAGTTCTTGTCATCGAAATCATGTTACATTGTTATATATATTATATATATATATAAATAGATATACATTCTACGCCACTGATTTGGTAATAGTTGTATGTAAAACACCTATTTGATAGATAAAAGAGTGAAGCTCCTCGTGCAAGGGGCAAGCTAAGTTGAAACGAATTGCTTCTCGTATTTCAGTAGTTTGAGTACAACGGTATCATTTTGTCTTGCTTTCTGAAAGACCAGCCAAAATAGGAGTTTGTTCTATTTTTGTATTATTAGGTGTTTCATTCAGAATAAATGGTTTACACTTACTTATATAAGGTGAGAGATTCCCTCTAACAATCGTGAGGTAACATACAGGATAGCACGACACATTTATCAAGTATCAAGACAGTGGACATATCAAAACCAGATTTTACACTGTTTGCATGACAAAGTAAACACAAGTTTCAAAAGAATGTAATCTAAATCAGAGATAAGATCTATTTGCTGCATGTAAAGACGATATGTCATTGACATGATATTGTTCACCGCATATACTAACTATGGAAGTCACTGAGGTCACAGGTCATTGACTTTATGCCATTGTGCTTCGGACTGGCTGACAATTGGCTCAACGCCATGAGGGGGAAGCAGGTCGCCCCCTCATGTTACCAGAACATTGACAAACACCTAGTAATAGGAAGAGTCATGGAGACTGAAAACTTGTAACAAACCAACCATGACGTATGACGTAAATTCACTTCATGTAAAGGTCAAAGGCCACTAACATGACGTTATATATGAATGTAAAGGTCATATGTCACTGACGTAATGATATACACTATATGAAAATGTTATATGTTACTGTTATAACACTCGCAGCATATAAAGGTCAAAGGTTACTGTCATGACGTTATACACCGTATATGATATCAAAGAATAATCTGACATCATTTACAGCATATAGAGGTCAAGGGTCACTGACAGGGCATTATACATCGTATGTAAAGGTCGTATGTCAATGGCATGACGTTATACACTATATGATAGCAAAAAATACTGATATGACATTATTCACAGCATGTGAAGGTCATATGTCACCGACATAATATCATAGGCCGCTGATCTGACTTTTACAGTGTAAGTTAATGTCGTGGGTTCTTGTTGTATCATAATGCGTTGTGTGTGTGTATGTCACTAATGTTACATAAGAATTGTATGAAAACTTCGAAAACACTGCTCTAGTATAATTTACTGTATGCAAGATCTCTATAAATAAAGTATATGTTAATGTATATGTAATTGATGAAAACATCGTGCACTACTGTATGTAAAAGGTCTGACACCTAACATTACACATTGTATGTAAGGAATTTAAGGTGTACATGTAACAGATACAACGTATTAAAATGACATATATGGTACACTGTATGTAAAGATCATTGGTCCGTGTCGGGGATACCTGCCGTAACACTGTATGTAGATGTAAACTGTAACTGATATACACTGCTATGTAAGTCATCTATACATACTATACACCTATATATCTATGTCTTTTAAGATCTTTCAAACGATAAATATGTGTGTCTGACCACCGAATTAGGATCCGTTATTGTTGTAATTCGTTTCTGGTGTCGATGCCTGGTCACGTATGATGTAATGGTGGCCCTCAGAGCGTATGTTACATATAAGCCCACCTGTTGAACGTCAAACTACTTAAAAAATTGGAAATTTTTTGGAGAGCCGTTCATTGTCGTGTCGGTTGGACATGGTTCTTTAACTTCTTACATTTACTATGCTAAACAAGATGTGTCTGTACTGTGATGTGGAGGGAAAGGGTATGGATTGTTTACTTATTGTACAATTGAGGGAAATAATTGATTCATCCACTCAACTATCAACCGAAATAATGTTTTAGCCACTTTGCTATAAACCGAAATAATGTTTTAACCACTTTGCTATAAACCCAAATAATGTTTGAACCACTTTGCTATAAACTGAAATAATGTTTTAACCACTTTGCTATAAACCGAAATAATGTTTTAACCACTTTGCTATAAACCGAAATAATGTTTTAACCACTTTGCTATCAACTGAAATAATGTTTTAACCACTTTGCTATCAACTGAAATAATGTTTTAACCACTTTGCTATAAACTGAAATAATGTTTTAACCACTTTGCTATCAACTGAAATAATGTTTTAACCACTTTGCTATAAACTGAAATAATGGGGGTTGGATTCTCGTTACTTTCGTAGAATTTCCTATAATATATTACATATTCTTCTGTATGTAAATTCAGAGGTAGATTTGTTTAAATGATATGTAACTGAGATTTCATATATTTACCTTACCATATATAAGTTCTTGATTTTTAAAAATAATAACTAGTTTACTTAATATTCCTTATAGCACTGCTACACTATATCATATAAAACGTAACACGATCAACTTTTTTAGCCTTATATATATATACACTATATTTTACATTACGAATCGTCCACACAGGACTTAAAACAGCCATATTCATATATTTCGTTTTTTGTCACATATCGATGCTATTTGTGTAGATGATATATTGGTAATGAGATATGTTTATTGTTTTGGTAATGTTTGTCGTGTAGGTAATCTTAAATAAATATATAACCGTTTATGTAAATACGATAGATTCCGCCAGAATGAGTTGGTGACAAGAGGGAGGGCTGTCATTTTGTTTTCAAACGTGACCAGGCTTCGCTTTAAACGTACAAAATCCCTGATTTACAATGTAACATATCACAACTAAATGAGAGAGCGAGAGAGCGAGATAAAGACGAGATGTGGGTCATTTCCATTAGTTCAAATCGGCTACATCCTCATTTTCTTCTTGTAAATGCACATTCTTAAGAAATGAAAACGAATTTTTCCATATTTGTGTTTTGAAAACATGTCTTTTTTTATTTGCATAGCTTGTTTGGCAGTTCTTACCTATGTTTGGTTTGCTCTCAGGTTTACTGTACGTGTGCCAATAACTTTGTATTTTTATTTATTCATTATATTGCGTGATACCTGTAATGTAAGGGCTGTATGTGTTTCTACAGACCGTTGGCAGATCAACCACTGGACAACCAATCATTACCTAGTGTTACGTTATGTTTGGAATTTTAAAAAAATCTTTTGTTAATCTATGAAGTGTTATTTGCCCCATTCTGGCTCGTCCACGTGACCTATGGTTGATCTCTCACACGTAGAAACACACGATCACGCCCACCAACCGCTGCCCACATTTGTCCCTGCTATTGTTTTGTGTAAAAACACCAACTACAGCGGTTAACAAGTACAATATTTTCCTTAAATATGGGAATGACAGTTTTATATCACGGTGAAATAAATTCATCTCATAATAAATTTGTGTTAGCCTTATTTCTCACACCATTTGCCTAACAATTAGTTTGTTATGGCCTTGATTATTTCCAACGTTTACTTAATAATGAATGTGCGTTGGCCTTTCCTCTTACAACATTAATCTTATAATACATGTACATTCGTGTTAGCCTTATCTCTGCTCTGACAACATATTAATAAATAATTTGTGTTGGCCTTACCTTCCACAATATTTACCTTATAATACGTTTGTGTTAACATTATTTCTTTAACGATTAGCAATAGGTTTGTCTTGTCCTACCTCTTACAAAGGAACTCTCAATATAAGTTCTCACAACAATGATCTAATGATGATATTGCGATGCCTTCTCTCATCATCCCATCAACAAAGAAAACTTATGTGTTGGCCTTACCATCTATCACTGTAGACTACATTGTGGTGTTGGCCTTACTCTCTATCACTGTAGACTATCTACATTGTTGTGTTGACCTTACTATCTATCACTGTAGACTATCTACATTGTTGTGTTGGCCTTACTGTCTATCACTGTAGACTATCTACATTGTTGTGTTGGCCTTACTATCTATCACTGTAGACTACATTGTTGTGTTGGCCTTACTATCAATCACTGTAGACTATCTACATTGTTGTGTTGGCCTTACTATCTATCACTGTAGGCTATCTATATTGTTGTGTTGGCCTTACTATCTATCACTGTAGACTATCTACATTGTTGTGTTGGCCTTACTATCTATCACTGTAGACTATCTACATTGTTGTGTTGGCCTTACTATCTATCACTGTAGACAATCTACATTGTTGTGTTGGCCTTACTATCAATCACTGTAGGCTATCTACATTGTTGTGTTGGCCTTACTATCTATCACTGTAAACTATCTACATTGTAGTGTTGTCCTACTATCTATCACTGTAGTCTACATTGTTGTGTTGGCCTTACTGTCAATCACTGTAGTCTACATTGTTGTGTTGGTCTTACTATCTATCAATGTAGATGTAGTACAATATTAATCACTGTACATTGTTGTGTTGGCCTTCCTTTCTATCACTGTAAACTACATTTTTGTGTTGGCCCTACTATCTATCAATGTAGACAATCTACATTGTTGTGTTGGCCTTACTATCTATAACTGTTGACTCCATTGTAGTCTTGGCCTTACTTTCTATCACTGTAGACTGGTTACATTGTTGTGTTGGCCTTACTGTCAATCACTGTAGACTATCTACATTGTTGTGTTGGCCTTCCTCTCTATCACTGTAAACTACATTGTTGTGTTGGCCTTACTGTCAATCACTGTAGTCTACATTGTTGTGTTGGTCTTACTATCTATCACTGTAGACTATCTACATTGTTGTGTTGGCCTTACTATCTATCACTGTAGACAATCTACATTGGTGTGTTGGCCTTAATGTCTATCACTGTAGACTATCTACATTGTTGTGTTGTCCTTACTATCTATCACTGTAAACTATCTACATTGTTGTGTTGTCCTTACTATCTATCACTGTAAACTATCTACATTGTTGTGTTGGCCTTACTATCAATCACTGTAGGCTATCTACATTGTTGTGTTGGCCTTACTATCTATCACTGTAGACTATCTACATTGTAGTGTTGTCCTACTATCTATCACTGTAGTCTACATTGTTGTGTTGGTCTTACTATCTATCAATGTAGACAATCTACATTGTTGTGTTGGCCTTCCTTTCTATCACTGTAAACTACATTTTTGTGTTGGCCCTACTATCTATCAATGTAGACAATCTACATTGTTGTATTGGCCTTACTATCTATAACTGTTGACTCCATTGTAGTCTTGGCCTTACTATCTATCACTGTAGACTATCTATATTGTAGTCTTGGCCTTACTATCTATCACTGTAGACAATCTACATTGTTGTGTTGGCCTTACTATCTATCACTGTAGACTATCTACATTGTTGTGTTGGCCTTACTATCTACCACTGTAGACTATATTGTTGTGTTGGCCTTACTGTCCATCACTGTAGACTGGTTACATTGTTGGGTTGGCCTTACTGTCTATCACTGTAGAGTATCTAAATTGTTGTGTTGGCCATGCTATTGATCACTGTAGACTACATTGTAGTGTTGGCCTTAATATCTATCACTGTAGACTATCTACATTGTAGTGTTGGCCATACTATTAATCACTGTAGACTATCTACATTGTTGTGTTGGCCTTACTATCTATCACTGTAGACTATCTACATTGTAGTGTTGGCCATACTATTTATCACTGTAGACTATCTACATTGTTGTGTTGGCCTTACTATCTATCACTGTAGACTATCTACATTGTAGTGTTGGCCTTACTATCTATCACTGTAGACTGGTTACATTGTTGTGTTGGCCTTACTGTCAATCACTGTAGACTATCTACATTGTTGTGTTGGCCTTCCTCTCTATCACTGTAAACTACATTGTGGTGTTGGCCTTACTGTCAATCACTGTAGTCTACATTTTTGTGTTGGCCTTACTATCTATCAATATAGACAATCTACATAGTTGTGTTGGCCTTCCTCTCTATCACTGTAAACTACATTTTTGTGTTGGCCATACTATTTATCACTGTAGACTATCTACATTGTTGTGTTGGCCATACTATCTATCACTGTTGACTATCTACATTGTAGTCTTGGCCTTACTATCTATCACTGTAGACTGGTTACATTGTTGTGTTGGCCTTACTGTCAATCACTGTAGACTATCTACATTGTTGTGTTGGCCTTCCTCTCTATCACTGTAAACTACATTGTTGTGTTGGCCTTACTGTCAATCACTGTAGTCTACATTGTTGTGTTGGTCTTACTATCTATCAATATAGACAATCTACATTGTTGTGTTGGCCTTCCTCTCTATCACTGTAAACTACATTTTTGTGTTGGCCCTACTATCTATCAATGTAGACAATCTACATTGTTGTGTTGGCCTTACTATCTATAACTGTTGACTCCATTGTAGTTTTGGCCTTACTATCTATCACTGTAGACTATCTACATTGTAGTCTTGGCCTTACTATCTATCACTGTAGACAATCTACATTGTTGTGCTGGCCTTACTATCTATCACTGTAGACTATCTACATTGTTGTGTTGGTCTTACTATCTACCACTGTAGACTATATTGTTGTGTTGGCCTTACTATCTATCACTGTAGACTATCTACATTGTAGTGTTGGCCTTACTATCTATCACTGTAGAGTACATTGTAGTGTTGGCCTTACTCTCTATCACCGTAGACTATCTACATTGTTGTGTTGGCCTTACTCTCTATCACCGTAGACTATCTACATTGTTGTGTTGGCCTTACTATCTATCACTGTAGACTACATTGTAATGTTGGCCTTACTGGCTATCACTGTAGAATATCTATATTTTAATCTAACTTTTGTTGTGTCGAACTTAACTTTAATTTATATAATATTCAACCAAGAGAACTAATGTCATTAGTATCTAAATCATTTCTCAAACACTGGTGTCATCCATTTTTTACAAACACTAGACAGTAATAAATAATATCCCTGTGAAGATAAACACGATGCTAACCTTACACCCACCTACCAACCTAATGATCAGGAGGCTAACTTCCTTTTTTATGTTGGAAACCATGCCATTGTAATCTTACTGAATATTTCATATTCTTGTTATCAGAGCTTCTTTTCGAACAAACGCTGTTTATGGTGTAAGGGTTGGAGATATTTTCGAAAAAAAAACAAACAAACAAAAACTACTGAGTTGGTGTAAGTGATACTGGTGGAAATGAAAAAAACACACGCACACCAAAATATAAGCCTCTCCTCTCAGTACAGAAGGTTTTGTCTTATATGACTATGAATCAAACAAAAGGTAGGAGACTTGGTCTTATCATGGGTTTAGATACGTCGTTAGCGCACTATCTTTGAATTATATAAAACTATTGACTTTATCGATCGGATGTACACTCTGGACCTTGCAATCAAGGATACTTGATATAATATACATCCCCAGTGTTCCTCGATCTTTATCAACATAAAACATAGATAGGCAGTATTATAATGAAGGAAGTTCTATATTCAAAGCAGTAACAGTCATGCTTCCCCAACAAAGGCTATTTACAGTTAATAGGATATCCAAGGAGATTCTAGTTATAGTGACATTGTACATCAATAACTTTGATATTCAAGACTGAAACAGTTTTCATGACTCTCCGCCAAAACACACAAGTTGAAGTTGAATACACACTTGACCAATCATCGATACAGCCTGAACTACAATGAACGTTCTGTTCACAGTGGTTACAAATGTTCTTCAGGATTTTAACAGATAGTCAAAAGAGAAAAAGCTAAACACAGATTAGTAGTATTTCAATCGTTCTAATATGAATATGCGGGTATGACTTATAAAAACAATGTAGAAGACACTTATGTGAGTGTGCCGGCGATATCAATTATCAGCAATGTTCATTCATCCGTTTTGTAAAACGGTAACGTAGTTTAATTAAAGTTCTTTATAAAACTGCCTTGATGATAAAACTTGTCAGAATACACAAAAAAAGGAATAAAAGTTCATTCGATTAAAACCGATGGTTTTTAATGACATAACACATGCAAACTAAGGAACAAAGTTGAGAAATCTATGAAACAGAACAATGATGAAACGGAAAAAAAAAGGAAAAAAATAAGTTGTGAAGATTTATAACATTGGCAATACCGAATAAAAAGAAAAAAACATTCGAAAGAGCAAACTGGAAAAAAGGCTCCAAGAAAAATCTAGTGTTTCAGATAAGCATGTCTAATACGGAAAATTCGTTGTGACAGCAGTACATCATACATATGATAGATTTAACATCAATTAAGACGTTCGTACAGTCCATTCGTAAATTCAAATGTCCAGATAACGATTCGGAAGAAATATACACACAATTGCTATTACAAACATGATACATGGTTTTGAATTTGACCTTTTACCTCTTATCGTCGGCTTTAGATTTAAATTTCGTTAAAAA